CCTTTGAGCGAGCTGACCCTGTGGGGTCGAGATAAGGAGGTGAGGGGCCACTCAGGTCACTGGAGGATTGAATTGATCATGGATTATACACAGTCACTTGCATGACAGTTGAATTGGAGCACTTTCATCGGATTATATAAAGTGTATATATATGCACTGTGTGTGGGCTGTTTTTGAGGTTTATATTAATTTTGTGACAGTCACTGTTGCATTTTTGTGTGAGTCACTATTGGAGTATTTACCACTTACACTTGTTATATTCCCTTAGTGGGAAGTCATGTGTTGCACAATTTGTGTGTTATCCCTTTTTTGTGTGTTTTTAAGGGGATTGAGTGTGTCACTATATTGTTTATGATTTAATATTTTTTATTGTATATTTATCTAGCTCTACACTTTTTGTATTAATTAATTAGTCACTTCACTTAATAGGTATAAGGTTAGTGTCAGCAGCTTTTAGGGTTAGGGCCCCATTTTAAGCGCAGGAGGATATGTCTTTATTTGTTATTTTAGTTAGTTTATGTATTATTACCACCAAAAGATCTTAATTAATATATTTCTATGACTAATTCATAGTATCAAAAATAATGTACCTCTTTAATATGGGGCCAGACATACAACCTGTGCAACTTCTTTTTTTTATTAGTGGAGTGCATGGAGGACCTAGTGGCCAGGATGGAAGAAGGCCCATGTTTCCACCACAGTTGATCAAACCTTGACCAAGCTCCCAATATGAATATTTAATTGTGTAAAGTGGATCTATACTCAAAAATATACAGTATATAAAGTTATGTTAACAGTGTAAAGAGATGGATAAATAGTAATTTAAGTGGAGAAATATCTACAATTCTTTTCCTAGAGAAAATCTATTCCAAGCTCCTATCATTGTTGATGACATGTGCAAAGGCCTAGGAATGTAGTCAAGTGAAATCTGCAGAAGAGGAAGATTAGAGTTTAGATTGGTTGATCCTCTCTTTGAGGGAGAGCATGTTAATAAGAGTTTAAGTCTTCACACATGTTACTTCTACTGAAGCCTTTAACATCTCAGGAAAAGTAGGCAATGTAGTCCTATATTGTTCTTTTTTAATCATCCTTGCAGAACTGTCATTATAGCTTTATTATATTGTGTAGGTTCACGATAAAGGCTATAGGATAGGATTGTGGAATCTGAAACTGGTAATACCACACAAAGTAAAGTCAGTAGTGTAAAGCTACTAGTGAATAATCAGCTATAGTGAATGGTGGAGAGAATAATGAAATTAGGCAGGAAACAGAAAATAAATGTGGAAAGCACAACATGCTTTACTTGTTCTGAGTGTGACATCCACATGCACAAATACTTGGTAATACTGGTAATTGCGTTGTCATGCAACACTGTACCCAAACAAAATTTTATAACATTTTTTTCACACAAATAGAGCTTTTTTGGTGGTATTTGATCACCAGCAGGGTTTTCATTTCTTTACTATATAAATGAAAAAAAAGGCAGAACATTTTGAAAAACAATAATATTTTTACCTTCTGCTATAAAACATATCCAATAATTTGTTTTTTAAATTTGTCTGGGAAGAGTTTATTTTCCTGGGTAATTGTAAAGGATAGTATATAAAAAAGGTGCAGTGCTAGTAGATGAAGATACGTATTACATATGCAAACTCATATAGAAGTTCAAAGTGACATAGTGCATACAGGTATAAGCCACTACTTTGTGTCTGGTAGAACGTGAGGAAAGGATTATTATTAGAGATGAGCGAAGTATTCAAAAATTCGATTCGACTGATTCGGCGAATTCGTGAGGAAAAATTTTGATTCGAGTCGAATATATTCGCTGGGAATTGGCAGGGGGAAAATTAACTTATAAAAGGGTGTTTCTAGGCTTCAGAGAGCCTTTATATTAGTGCAGAACACTGTACCTTTAATTTAAATGCCCTTGGAGTCTGCTGGGGAAGAGAAATAATACTGACAGTCAGTATGACATGCAGATGAGTGCCGTCGATCTTAGAATCACCGCACACTTCACTCATTTGGGCAGTCACGGGGCCAAAACCAGAGTGTGGAGCCACAGTGTGGCGGTGGAGGCAGCAGCAATGGGAGGCCATACAGCACCCTATGACAAAAAAAATGGAAACCACCAGCAGTGTGAGGAGACCTGAAAGTGGCACATGGCAGAGTGTGGCGATGGAGACAGCAGCAATGGGAGGCCGTACAGGGACCCATGACACACTCTGGACCTGGCAGCAGCATGAGGAGGTGGGTACAGGGGCCCATGACAGATTACGGGCCTGGCAGCAGCATGAGAGTAGGTACGGGGGCCCATGGCAGATTACGGGCCTGGGCAGCAGCAATGGGAGGCTGTACAGGGACCCATGACACACTCTGGACCTGGCAGCAGCATGAGGAGGCGGTACAGGGGCCCATGACAGATTACGGGCCTGGCAGCAGCATGAGGAGTCGGTACGGGGGCCCATGACACACTCTGGACCTGGCAGCAGCATGAGGAGGCGGTACAGGGGCGCATGACAGATTACGAGCCTGGCAGCAGCAACTTGGACAGGAGGACGTTCAGCTTCTGCACCGTCGGGTGCGTGCTCGCAAACTGTTGTCTCTTGGAAACGTATTCCAAGAAAGACTGCTGACGGAATCCGTGAAGAGGAGTAGCAGGAGAAGGAGCATCTGAACGAGCGGAATATGCCAACAAGCGACAACAGGGGCCCATGACAGATACGGGCCTGGCAGCAGCATGAGGAGTCGGTACGGGGGCCCATGGCAGATTACGGGCCTGGCAGCAGCAAAGGGAGGCCCGTAATCTGCCAGCACCCTATGACAAAAAATGGAACACACCGCAGTGTGTGAGGAGACCTGAAAGTGGCACATGGCAGAGTTGTGTGGCGATGGAGACATGAGCAGCAATGGGAGGCCGTACAGGGACCCATGAGAGACTCTGGACCTGGCAGCAGCATGAGGAGGCGGTACAGGGGCCAATGGCAGATTACGGGCCTGGCAGCAGCAATGGGAGGCCCGTAATCTGCCAGCACCCTATATGACAAAAAATGGAACACAACAGCAGTGTGAGGAGACCTGAAAGTGGCACATGGCATGAGACACTGTGGACCTGGCAGCAGCAGCATGAGGAGGCGGTTACAGGGGCCCATGGCAGATTAGGGGCCTTGCAGCAGCTATGGGAGGCCCGTAATCTGCCAGCACCCTATGACAAAAAATGGAACACACCAGCAGTGTGTGAGGAGACCTGAAAGTGGCACATGGCAGAGTGTGGCGATGGAGACAGCAGCAATGGGAGGCCGTACAGGACCCATGACACACTCTGGACCTGGAAGCAGCATGAGGAGGCGGGTACAGGGACCCATGGCAGATTACGGGCCTGGCAGCAGCAATGGGAGGCCCGTAATCTGCCAGCACCCTATGACAAAAAATGGAACACACCAGCAGTGTGAGGAGACCTGAAAGTGGCACATGTTTGGGGCATGATTCATGGCGGATTTAGTCAGTTGTGTCAGGAACTGGTGGTTTGAAATCCAGACTAATCCAGCCTGATTCAGGCACAAACGTGAGTCTCTCCACACTTTGGGTGGACAGTCGTGTCCTCCGCGGAGTTACAATACCTCCTGCCGCACTAAACATGCGCTCCGATGCCACGCTACTGGCCGGGCATGACAGCCTTTCAAGGGCAAATTCAGCTAGTTGGGCAAAAGGTCAAGTTTCGTTGCCCAGTAGCCAAGGGGATTGTCTACCTCGGTTGGCAGGGTGCTGTCCAAGTAGGCCTAAGCCTGTTGTTTGAGGTCCTGCTCCAGGTCCACCTGATGTTGCTGCTGCTGCGGCTGGTTAGTAGTTTCCTCACTGCGCTGGTGAAGAAAGCTACTCATCATCGACTGCAGACTGAGGCAGCCGCTGCTGGTGGAGCTGCCACTGCTCCTACCACCCCACCCCTCCCCTGCTGCCATGGCAGCGGAACGCGAGCGCACAGGGCCCACAGTGTCTGAGGATGGACGTTGGCGCAGAAAGGCAGAGACCAGCTGACTACATAGGTGGTTTTTATAGTACGTTATTTTGGCCTCCCTCTCAGCAGGTGTGAAAAAGGCCACCATTTTGAACGGTAGCGAGGGTTCCAACAAGGTGGACAGCCAAAAGTCATCCCTCTGTCTGATGGTTATTATTCGGCTGTCGCTACGCAAGCAAGCGAGCATGCTATGGGCCATTTGTGCCAAGGAATGCGAGGGACTCCCTGCCTCCATCTCCACAGCATACTGCCATGGTGCGTCTGGGTCCTCTGTCTCCTCCTTCTCCTCCTCTACCAGATGCTCCTGCTCCTCCACTCCTGTCCGCTGAGTGGAAAAAACCACCCATTTCACTAAATATTTCCTGAGCACCAATGTCCTCCTCTACCTCCTCCTCTTCTTCCTGTCCTGCCCCCACAGGGGTCATGTGGCGTTGAGATCTGTGCGCCACGTCTACCGCACCCTGACCAGCCATTGTTAACAGCATTTGTTCCAGGACGTGCAACAGAGGAATGACGTCGTTCATCCCATAGTCCTGCCGACTCACGAATAGCGTGGCCTCCTCAAAGGGCCTGAGCAAGCGCAGGTGTCACGCATGAGCTGCCAATGGCTGACATCTAAGTTACACAGGGAGTACCTTTATCCGCTTGTAACATCAGGAAATCTGTGATGGCCTTTCGCTGTTCGTAAAGGCGGTCTAACATATGTAGGGTTGAATTCCACCTTGTTGCAACGTCACAGCATGAGAGTCGGTACGGGGGCCCATGGCAGATTACGGGCCTGGCAGCAGCAATGGGAGGCCCGTAATCTGCCAGCACCCTATGACAAAAAATGTAACACACCAGCAGTGTGAGGAGATCTGAAAGTGGCACATGGCAGAGTGTGGTGATGGAGACAGCAGCAATGGGAGGCCGTACAGGGACCATGAGAGACTCTGGACTTGGCAGCAGCATGAGGAGGTGGTATAGGGGCCCATGGCAGATTAGGGGCCTGGCAGCAGCTATGGGAGGCCCGTAATCTGCCAGCACCCTATGACAAAAAATGAACACACCAGCAGTGTGAGGAGACCTGAAAGTGGCACATGGCATGAGGCCGTACAGGGACTGTGGACCTGGCAGCAGCATGAGGAGGCGGTACAGGGGCCCATGGCAGATTAGGGGCCTGGCAGCAGCTATGGGAGGCCCGTAATCTGCCAGCACCCTATGTCAAAAAATTGAAACACACCAGCAGTGTGAGGAGACCTGAAAGTGGCACATGGCAGAGTGTGGCGATGGAGAGCAGCAGCAATGGGAGGCCGTACAGGGACCCATGAGAGACACTCTGGACCTGGCAGCAGCATGAGGAGGCGGTACAGGGGCCCATGGCAGATTAGGGGCCTGGCAGCAGCTATGGGAGGCCCGTAATCTGCCAGCACCCTATGACAAAAAATGGAACACACCAGCAGTGTGTGAGGAGACCTGAAAGTGGCACATGGCAGAGTGTGGCGATGGAGACAGCAGCAATGGGAGGCCGTACAGGGACCCATGAGAGACTCTGGACCTGGGCAGCAGCATGAGGAGGCGGTATAGGGGCCCATGGCAGATTAGGGGCCTGGCAGCAGCTATGGGAGGCCCGTAATCTCTGCCAGCACCCTATGACAAAAAATGGAACACACACCAGCAGTGTGTGAGGAGACCTGAAAGTGGCACATGGCAGAGTGTGGCGATGGAGACAGCAGCAATGGGAGGCCGTACAGGGACCCATGAGACACTCTGGACCTGGCAGCAGCATGAGGAGGCGGTACAGGGGCCCATGGCAGATTAGGGGCCTGGCAGCAGCTATGGGAGGCCCGTAATCTGCCAGCACCCTATGACAAAAAATGGAAAACACACCAGCAGTGTGTGAGGAGACCTGAAAGTGGCACATGGCAGAGTGTGGCGATGGAGACAGCAGCAATGGGAGGCCGTACAGGGACCCATGAGAGACTCTGGACCTGGCAGCAGCATGAGGAGGCGGTATAGGGGCCCATGGCAGATTAGGGGCCTGGCAGCAGCTATGGGAGGCCCGTAATCTGCCAGCACCCTATGACAAAAAATGGAACACACCAGCAGTGTGAGGAGACCTGAAAGTGGCACATGGCATGGCGATGGAGACAGCAGCAATGGGAGGCCGTACAGGGACCCATGAGAGACTCTGGACCTGGCAGCAGCATGAGGAGGCGGTACAGGGGCCCATGGCAGATTAGGGGCCTGGCAGCAGCATATGGGAGGCCCGTAATCTGCCAGCACCCTATGACAAAAAATTGAACACACCAGCAGTGTGTGAGGAGACCTGAAAGTGGCACATGGCAGAGTGTGGGCAGCAGATGGAGACAGCAGCAATGGGAGGCCGTACAGGGACCCATGAGACACTGTGGACCTGGCAGCAGCATGAGGAGGCGGTACAGGGGCCCATGGCAGATTAGGGGCCTGGCAGCAGCTATGGGAGGCCCGTAATCTGCCAGCACCCTATGACAAAAAATGGAACACACACCAGCAGTGTGAGGAGACCTGAAAGTGGCACATGGCAGAGTGTGGCGATGGAGACAGCAGCAATGGGAGGCCGTACAGGGACCCATGAGAGACTCTGGACTTGGCAGCAGCATGAGGAGGCGGTATAGGGGCCCATGGCAGATTAGGGGCCTGGCAGCAGCTATGGGAGGCCCGTAATCTGCCAGCACCCTATGACAAAAAATGGAACACACCAGCAGTGTGAGGAGACCTGAAAGTGGCACATGGCAGAGTGTGGCGATGGAGACAGCAGCAGCAATGGGAGGCCGTACAGGGACCCATGAGAGACTCTGGACCTGGGCAGCAGCATGAGGAGGCGGTATAGGGGCCCATGGCAGATTAGGGGCCTGGCAGCAGCTATGGGAGGCCCGTAATCTGCCAGCACCCTATGACAAAAAATGGAACACACCAGCAGTGTGAGGAGACCTGAAAGTGGCACATGGCATGAGTGTGGCGATGGAGGCAGCAATGGGGGCCGTACAGGGACCAGACTCTCTGGACCTGGCAGCAGCATGAGGAGGGGGTACAGGGGCCCATGGCAGATTTAGGGGCCTGGCAGCAGCTATGGGAGGCCCGTAATCTGCCAGCACCCTATGACAAAAAATGGAACACACCAGCAGTGTGTGAGGAGACCTGAAAGTGGCACATGGCAGAGTGTGGCGATGGAGACAGCAGCAATGGGAGGCCGTACAGGGACCCATGAGACACTCTGGGACTGGCAGCAGCATGAGGAGGCGGTATAGGGGCCCATGGCAGATTAGGGGCCTGGCAGCAGCTATGGGAGGCCCGTAATCTGCCAGCACCCTATGACAAAAAATGGAACACACCAGCAGTGTGAGGAGACCTGAAAGTGGCACATGGCAGAGTGTGGCGATGGAGACAGCAGCAATGGGAGGCCGTACAGGGACCCATGAGAGACTCTGGACTGGCAGCAGCATGATGAGGAGGCGGTATATGGGGCCCATGGCAGATTAGGGCCCTGGCAGCAGCTATGGGAGGCCCGTAATCTGCCAGCACCCTATGACAAAAAATGGAACACACCAGCAGTGTGTGAGGAGACCTGAAAGTGGCACATGGCAGAGTGTGTGGCGATGAGACAGCAGCAATGGGAGGCCGTACAGGGACCCATGAGAGACTCTGGACCTGGCAGCAGCATGAGGAGGCGGTATAGGGGCCCATGGCAGATTAGGGGCCTGGCAGCAGCTATGGGAGGCCCGTAATCTGCCAGCACCCTATGTCAAAAATGGAACACACCAGCAGTGTGTGAGGAGACCTGAAAGTGGCACATGGCAGAGTGTGGCGATGGAGACAGCAGCAATGGGAGGCCGTACAGGGACCCATGAGAGACTCTGGACCTGGCAGCAGCATGAGGAGGCGGTACAGGGGCCCATGGCAGATTAGGGGGCCTGGCAGCAGCAATGGGAGGCCCGTAATCTGCCAGCACCCTATGACAAAAATTGGAACACACCAGCAGTGTGTGAGGAGACCTGAAAGTGGCACATGGCAGAGTGTGGCGATGGAGACAGCAGCAATGGGAGGCCGGTACAGGGACCCATGAGAGACTCTGGACCTGGCAGCAGCATGAGGAGGCGGGGGTACAGGGGCCCATGGCAGATTAGGGGCCTGGCAGCAGCTATGGGAGGCCCGTAATCTGCCAGCACCCTATGACAAAAAAAAATTGGAACACACACCAGCAGTGTGAGGAACCTGAAAGTGGCACATGGCAGAGTGTGGCGATGGAGACAGCAGCAATGGGAGGCCGTACAGGGACCCATGAGAGACTCTGGACCTGGCAGCAGCAGCATGAGGAGGGCGGTATAGGGGCCCATGGCAGATTAGGGGCCTGGCAGCAGCTATGGGAGGCCCGTAATCTGCCAGCACCCTATGACAAAAAATGGAACACACCAGCAGTGTGAGGAGACGTGAAAGTGGCACATGTTTTGGGGCATGATTCATGGCGGATTTAGTCAGTTGTGTCAGGAACTGGTGGTTTGAAATCCAGACTAATCCACGCCTGATTCATTTTCACAAACGTGAGTCTCTCCACACTTTGGGTGGACAGTCGTGTCCTCCGCGGAGTTACAATACCTCCTGCCGCACTAAACACGCGCTCCGATGCCACGCTACTGGCCGGGCATGACAGCCTTTCAAGGGCAAATTCAGCTAGTTGGGGCCAAAGGTCAAGTTTCGTTGCCCAGTAGTCAAGGGGATTGTCTACCTCGGTTGGCAGGGTGCTGTCCAAGTAGGCCCAAGCCTGTTGTTTGAGGTCCTGCTCCAGGTCCACCTGATGCTGCTGCTGCTGCTGCGGCTGGTTAGTAGTTTCCTCACTGCGCTGGTGAAGAAAGCTACTCATCATCGACTGCAGACTGAGGCAGCCGCTGCTGGTGGAGCTGCCACTGCTGCTCCTACCCACCCCACCCCTCCCCTGCTGCCATGGCAGCGGAACGCGAGCGCACAGGGCCCACAGTGTCTGAGGATGGACGTTGGCGCACAAAGGCAGAGACCAACTGACTACATAGGTGGTTTTTATAGTACGTTATTTTGGCCTCCCTCTCAGCAGGTGTGAAAAAAGGCCACCATTTTTGAACGGTAGCGAGGGTCCAACAAGGTGGACAGCCAAAAGTCATCTCTCTGTCTGATGGTTATTATTCGGCTGTCGCTACGCAAGCAAACCGAGCATGCTATGGGCCATTTGTGCCAAGGAATGCGAGGGACTCCCTGCCTCCATCTCCACAGCATACTGCCACGGTGCGTCTGGGTCTCTGTCTCCTCCTCCTCCTCCTCTACCAGATGCTCCTGCTCCTCCACTCCTGTCCGCTGAGTGGTGGAAAAACCACCCATTTCACTCAATAATTCCTGAGCACAAATGTCCTCCTCTACCTCCTCCTCTTCTTCCTGTCCTGCCCCCACAGGGGTCATGTGGCGTTGAGATCTGTGCGCCACGTCTACCGCACCCTGACCAGCCATTGTTAACAGCATTTGTTCCAGGACGTGCAACAGAGGAATGACGTCGTTCATCCCATAGTCCTGCCGACTCACGAATAGCGTGGCCTCCTCAAAGGGCCTGAGCAAGCGGCAGGTGTCACGCATGATGAGCTGCCAATGGCTGACATCGAAGTTACACAGGGGAGTACCTTTATCCGCTTGTAACATCAGGAAATCGGTGATGGCCTTTCGCTGTTCGTAAAGGCGGTCTAACATGTGTAGGGTTGAATTCCACCTTGTTGCAACGTCGCAGATCAGGCGATGCTGTGGAATTCCGTTCTGCCGCTGCAGCTCAAGGAGGGTGTGCTTTGCGGTGTAGGAATGGCTGAAATGCATGCAAAGTTTACGTGACATTTTAAGGATGTCTTGCAGTGGGATGGTGGATTTTAGGAACCGCTTGACAACAACCAGATTGAACACGTGAGCCATGCATGGCGCATGGCACAACCTTCCTTGACGCAGAGCAGACACCATGTTCTTTCCGTTGTCGGTCAACATGGTTCCGATTTTCAGTTTGCGCGGAGACAGCCATCTGTCGATTTCTCTGTTCATTACACTCAGAAGTTCCTCCCCTGTGTGTGACTACGTTCGCCAAGGCATACCAGGTGCAGCACAGCGTGACACCGTTGCGCCCTGCACATGTGATATGCCGGTCGGGTAATGGGATGGGACTTGGGGGGGGTGGCGGCTGAGGACACGGCGGAAGAAGAGGTGGTAGAGGCGGACATCTTTTGTGGACCAAGGACGTGCAAACGTGGAGGCAAAAGCGGCGTGACCTGTCCAAGTTGCTGGTGCGGCTGTGCTGTGACGGCACCACGTTCACCCAGTGGGCCGTAAATGACATGTACTGTCCCTGACCGTAGTTACAGCTCCACACGTCGGCGCTGCCGTGCACTTTGGCAGAGACCGACATGCTCAAAGACTGGCCCACCATCTCTTCTACATGTGAATGCAGGGCTGGCACTGCCTTTTTGGCGAAGAAATGACGGCTTGGCACTCTCCACCGCGGCGCGGCACAAGCCATCATTTCTCGGAAAGGTGCTGAGTCCACCACTTGGAAAGGGAGGGACTGCAGCACCAGCAACTTGGACAGAGGGACGTTCAGCTTTTGCACCGTCGGGTGCGTGCTCGCAAACTGTTGTCTCTTGGAAACGGATTCCAAGAAAGACTGCTGACGGAATCCGTGAAGAGGAGTAGCAGGAGAAGGAGCATCTGAACGAGCGGAAGATGCCAACGAGCGACAACTCCCCTCAGCAGAGGTGTTGGAGCCTTGACTGGCTGATAGAGGGCGATTGACGTCGGGTGACGGAGCAAGTAACGGAGCGGGTGATGGAGGGGGGGGCTGGGGCAGGCAGAACCGCCGTATCTTTATCACGGTTTTCCCAGGCCACCAAATGGCGACGCTGCATATGCTGACGCAACGCTGTAGTCCCAACATGGGCCCCCTGGCCACGCTTGACTTTCTGGCCACATAGTCGACATACGGCTACGTTTACTTCCTCGGGCGGCTTTGAAAAAAATTGCCACACCGCCGAGTAGGAAACTTTGCCCCGATACTCCTCACTGGCTGACTGCTGCTTCCTCCGTGCACACCGGCACCACTACTGGCCGTGGTGGTGGTAGGCTGCAGTGGAGCTGGTGCTGTACTCCGTGGGCCGTTTGCCTCCACTGACACTGCTGCGACCCTGCTGCCTCCTGGGCACCCACCGACTGTTTTGCTCGCTGCCAAGCTGCCACCCTCTTCTCCTGATGATGCGGAAGCAATAGCCTGATGACGACGAGGCTGCCAAGTGCGATCAGCCTCATCATCATCAATTAGGGTCTCCGCCTCACTACTAGCCCCTCGGCTGCGTGTGGGTCAGGAGACAGACCTGTCTCTAGACCGGCTACCGAGCCACTCTCCTCGCCACTACTTCTTCGCCTGGCTGCTGAAGAGGCGGATGTCTCCCCCCGTTCCTGACCGCCCTCTGTTAGCTCTTCCTCACTGTACAGTGGGGCTGAGCCCACAGCATGCGATACTTCGCTTGGTGAGGGAACACCAAAGGACAGGGGCAGGTAGAGGACACGTGATTTCAGTGGGCTTGCTCCCGGGCCATGCCAACTAACGGTTGTGTCTGACGTACCCACCGACCGTTGGCTGTAGGTGTCAGAGGTGACCTGGGAAGAGGAAGACGACCGAGCCAACCAATCGATGACGGCAGGGTTGTCGGTGGAGACACGACCGCTGGATGACACCGGGAGCACTGGCCTCTGGCTGCGAATAGTGCTGCCTCGACCCCTTCCTCTGCTGCCACGTCTGCTCGCTCCTAAAACATTGCCTCCTCTGCCACTCCTCTGCGTGTTGTCTGACATACTCTTTAATTAAACGATTCTGTGTCCCCTGAGTAACAATTCTGTGTCTGTCCCTGAGTAACAATTCTGTGTCCCTGAGTAACGTTTCTGTGTCCCTAAGTAACAGTTCTGTGGCCCTCAGTAACAATTCTGTGTCCCTCAGTAACAATTCTGTGTCCCTGAGTAACAATTCTGTTCTGTGTGTCTGTTAACAATTCTGTGTCCTGAGTACAATTCTGTGTCTGTCCCCTGAGTAACAATTCTGTGTCCCTGAGTAACGTTTCTGTGTCCCTAAGTAACAATTCTGTGTCCCTCAGTAACAATTCTGTGTCTGTCCCTGAGTAACAATTCTGTGTCCCTGAGTAACAATTCTGTGTCCCTCAGTAACAATTCTGTGTCCCTCAGTAACAATTCTGTGTCCCTCAGTAACAATCTCTGTGTCCCTCAGTAACAATTCTGTCTGTCCCTGAGTAACAATTCTGTGTCTGTCCCTGAGTAACAATTCTGTGTCCCTGAGTAACGTTTCTGTGTCCCTAAGTAACAGTTCTGTGGCCCTCAGTAACAATTCTGTGTCCCTCAGTAACAATTCTGTGTCTGTCCCTGAGTAACAATTCTGTGTCTGTCCCTGAGTAACAATTCTGTGTCCCTCAGTAACAATTCTGTGTCCCTCAGTAACAATTCTGTGTCCCTCAGTAACAATTCTGTGTCTGTCCCTGAGTAACAATTCTGTGTCTGTCCCTGAGTAACAATTCTGTGTCCCTGAGTAACAATTCTGTGTCCCTAAGTAACAGTTTCTGTGTCCCTCAGTAACAATTCTGTGTCCCTCAGTAACAATTCTGTGTGTCCCTGAGTAACAATTCTGTGTCTGTCCCTGAGTAACAATTCTGTGTGTCCCTGAGTAACAATTCTGTGTCCCTCAGTAACAATTCTGTGTCCTCAGTAACAATTCTGTGTCCCTGAGTAACAATTCTGTGTCCCTCAGTAACAATTCTGTGTCCCTCAGTAACAATTCTGTGTCCCTGAGTAACAATTCTGTGTCCCTAAGTAACAATTTCTGTGTCCCTAAGAGTAACAATTCTGTGGCCCTAAGTAACAATTCTGTGGCCCTCAGTAACAATTCTGTGTCCCTCAGTAACAATTCTGTGTCTGTCCCTCAGTAACAATTCTGTGTCTGTCCTCTGAGTAACAATTCTGTGTCCTAAGTAACGTTTCTGTGTCCCTAAGTAACAATTTTCTGTGGCCCTAAGTAACGGTTCTGTGTCCCTAAGT